AAGTTGACATTAATTTAGAAGTTAGTTTGTTCCTGTTCCGTAGTTAAAGTTGTACCGAGTGGAATAAAAGTTGTAACCAGAAGAAAGAATTAAATACTCGGCCATCCACGGTACAATATGTTTTCTCGCAGAAAATGCTGTTAGCAGCTGCGTTAACTTCCATAACGCGCGTCAATTCAAATTCGCACGTTTGCGACATAGCGCAAATGAAAGATGATTGTTAATATAATAGGGTAACCGGAAAAAACTTAAAATTATTTTTCATTTTCAAGTTCAGTCACAAGTCTCGTCATACACTAGTGGCTCATCACAGAGCACCTCTGAGCAAGAAGTGACAACTCTTTACATGACAACAACAACTTTACATGATTGTAAAGTCTGTGTCCCATGCATCCGCTTATACGATGATACGAAAGTCTTTCTATTGGTTGGCGGACGAATAGACAGATATCCAACCAATAGAAACACTTGTATCATCATATAAACGGATGCATGGGACACAGGCTTTACTTCTATGAATTTCTTATTCGTAGCAAGGTATACAGGGTGATTCAAAATTGGCGAACGAGAAAAATATTGAAATTTTTTTTTCGAAATTTTCTAGAAGATATTAACAGTTGAAGATCGAATTTCAACTTTGTTATTACGCATTATTTTGAAATTGTTAAGAAAAAGAAAAATTGCCATCTTTGCTTCAAATTACGAACATTTTTGATATCAAAAAAGTTCTCTTCTGCAATTTTTTGATGAAAATGCACAGCGGCAATGATGTTTTTTATCATTAAAAGATAGTTACAGGTGGATAGCCCTTGTCAACAATAACAACAATTTGTCAAACTGTGAGTTGAACAGAGAAACACGTATTGGACATAACCGAATCGGGGCCTTCCAGGGGCACTCAGAGCACCATAACTGACACTTTCCCAAGCACCAAATAAATACCGAGGAAGGGCTACGTTCCTGCCACATTTGTACGATACACACAGCGCAAGGAGATACAAATGGAGCAGGACGACAGTATAAAAGTATAAAAGGATCAAAGAAATAATGGTTTTAGAGAAAAATATGCGTTGAAAGGATTTTAAAAATTGACTCATTCGTAATAAAAATGATGGGATCGACAACATTTTTAATATAATAAAAGTATAAAATGCAGCAGTCGGCCATATTGCTTAAAACGCCAATCAGATCGCATGACGTCACGACCCTTGAAGGAATAACGCGGCCTATGTATCAGCTGTGGTAATAACGTGGTAATAGCCCTATCGCATCAGTTTATTCGTTATTTATTCGTGGTTTTTTTCTAAATAATCTAAAGGAATCAACTGCTAAAGTAATTAACCCCTATTGAACAAGGATTTATCAAAGCCAACAGCTCTAACTTGCCCAGAGTTGATATGTTACTGTTGGAGCAGTTTTTTGCATCCAATAAAGACTTCCTCATCTGAGGTTCGTCATGTGAAAACTTCTTTGCAAGTACAATCTAATTTATCTTCATTTCTAACGATAATTTAATTCACACAA